TGAACCCAACCCCTACTCAAAAAATAAAGAATATGATACACCAGCATAACTACTTCACAGCCTGTCATATTGATGGTATGACTCCCCTGGACTGTTTTTTGCAATTATTTTTGGTGTCACTTTAAATTACAGAGTTTAAAGCTACAATGTCTGAAAATAATTGAAGAAAATGTGTACTTTCCGTTGAACTAAACTAGTTTATTAGTATAAAATAACTTTGCTTCCAATCCAAAAAGTATTAATTGCCAAACAATTAATGACATTTTATTTGGGGAAATGAACTGGTCCTCTTCCTTGACAATTGATGGCGGAGGAGGACCTAAGCACTGTCAATCACCCTCGCCTACATGCTGCTCACACTCTTCCCCTGGTTCTTTGCTATCATACAGCTGGTTATCCACACTGGAACCTGCCATGAATTCTCAGGATAGTTAGCGTAGCAACAGATGGTATTGGGTAAACAGTTTTCCTGTAACAGTAAGTTGTTTTTCTGCCATGAGCACATTGCTCAGCGAGTACACTCGTATGATAGACAGTGCTAAGACCCTCCTTCTGACTCTGATTGGTTGTTTCTCACTGTGAAACAGATGACATGACCACAGGGAGAAGGCAGAGGAGCTAATTTTTTCACAGATTATCTGTCTCATGTTATACTGTCACGACATAGAGAAAGTTTTAAGAAATATTTTTAAAAACATATTTTTTATCAAATTTACATATGTCCCTGAAGTAAAATGGAGTATTTAGTACTTTTGTTTGGGTTATATTATTCACTGTAATTTGCTCATTTAAGAAGGTCCTTCGTTTTATGGCTAGATTACCACAACACACTCAACCAGCTGCTACCTCTGAAGGTTTCTGATTGTGAGAACAGAACACAAACTCAAATTTGGTGTGAGGTTATACACAGCCGAGTTAATACTTTCTTCCATCCTTTTCTATAGTTTATGTTGCATGTACTTTTGCTAAAACTGAGTTTAGGTAAAAAAGAACCTGTCAGTGAATCCACAGCTCTTTTAACACAATATTTACGACCTGTACATGGTGCACCAACTCAGTGGAAACGCAGGTAGTCACATAAACAAATTGCTCGGTATATAAGGGGGAGGCTGCATAGGCATCACATGGCTCTTGTTAGTGACACTGTTGTCCTTAAGCTGATTCTGTTTGGTTGCTGTTTTGCGTGTTAGCAGGTGTACTATAAGTCTATTCAGTTCCTATCTAGTGGCATTCTTACATTGCTAGTTCATAAGAGTTATATCAACATAGGCATTACTGTACAAGATGACTCTATCCATCAGTAAAATAATGAATGAATGAACAAAGGAAAGGAAAACTGAATGAAAGTACAAAATTGGCCCGGATACAGTACTGATCTCTTCAGCAGGACTCAACACAACAAATATATGACCAAAGAAATCTTGGTTAATCACCTAAACAAACCCAGCAACGCAGTGCAGTTAGGAATGGAGAAGAAAAGTTCAAACTGATAATCAAAATGAGAAAGAACGAGGATTTAAATGTATTTTCAACTAGAGCTGTACAATATATTGCAAAGTAGGAATGTGTGATATGGCATAAAATTCATATCACAATATCTATCATGATGGGAGACAGTAACAACATATATCACTATGGTTTTGCCATTAAATGTACAATAGAAACAAAAAAATACTAATTATAATTAATACTAATATATATTTGTGTTAACTTTTTTTAGATTTAGTGGATGGATAGTTATTGTGGGTGTTATTTGTATGTAATGATTGTAACTGTTTTGTATTATGCTGGTACCTATTACTGTCAGGTCGGACTTACAAAGTCTAATTTTAAGCGAGACCCAGCAATGACCGGCAGCAGCATAATCTCATGATGACTATCTGGTTAAATCAAAGTTAAATAAATACTTGAAAAATATCTTTCTATAGAAACACTAACTTTAATGTAAAGGATGTCAGTAAAGGACAGCTGATATGTTTGTGACACCAAGAGTAAACTGCTACAAATATAGGTTCTCAAAAAAGAGCTGATATTTTTCAAAAGGTTTGACAAAAAGCTCCCCACAAAATGAATGAGTTTTTGGAATGAAACTAGTAGTACTATCTATATTTAGAGATCTAAAAACATTAACATGAAAGCATGCTGTGGTTACAGAAGCAGCACTTTTGCATGGATGCTTAAATAAATAAACAACCCTCTGTGGTGAAACAAGGTATAATTGTGTGACCATAAATCATTTCTCCCAGAATGTCACACTGACTGAGGTCCACAGCATGTACTATACAAAAAAAAAATTAATTAAATCTATCAAACTGTTTTTTAAGAGCATCTGATTGGCAAGCCGTCTTGGGACAGTTGGCAAATGGGCGGGCAGCGGAGGAGTTTAGAGGTGCTAAAGTTCAGGCAGGAGCGACGCAGCACCCTGTGTCCTGCCAACAGCCCTACAGTGGCGCAAATCCTGACTAAGTTGTTGACCCGTGGCCCCCACCTGCCTTGACCATGTATTATAAAGAGGGAGGGGGGCATCACTTTCCTTCCTAAGCTGCCTTCCACACCAGAAGGCTTTTGACTCATGCCCATCTGTCCTGGTAGTACATACATTAAGTGAAAGCCAAGATACTGGCAACCTGTCCAATTCATGAGTGCCTTGTTATGTGAAGTGTGAACACGATCTCAGCAACCGTTCAGTAGGGAGAAAAATGATCAGTTAGGAGGTCAATCCACACGGCTCTCTTCGAGTTGCAATAACATGTGAGGAACAATTATGACGTAAACATTTAGGGAATTCTTTTTAAGCTTAATTATTGTTATTTCCTCACTCAGTTAAAAACAAACCAATATAGTAAACAATTAAGTTTTCTATAATTGGCAACCACACGTTCTTACACGAGAAGAGCAAAATAAAAAGGCCTGAGAAACATCCATTATTGTGAGTTTGAATGCCTATGCCATTACTAGTCCAAGTAAAGGCAGATGGGGTAACAATGGCTGAAATTCAAATACGTCCTAATCGCTTGCAAATACCAGTGTGGATGGTCAGTCTAGATTCAGTTTAGTCATACATCACACATTTGCCTACAGACTGAGCACATTCTGGGTCATTCTTAGCATGACAATACATCAGTGGTTGAAGTATTACATTAGAAATGATGGTAACAAATGAGAAAAAAGTGTAATTTATTACTTAAATAAAAAACTCTTGGCTGAAATAAGTTAAGTTTCAAATATGTTTTTAAAGAAACGTTTTCTTCAGGCAGGCATTTACCCCGAAACACACAACCGCCCCTTCCTCCCCAGGAGCGCTACTGACCATTTTAGCAAGTTTCTTTGTCAAGATAAGAGACTAAAAGGCTGACAGATGTTCTCCAAATCTCTCAGATTATCTGTTAAGATGAATCTGATTCTCTACAAAAGGAGAGTGTCTGTCAGATCTGCTAGCCAATGTTTGATGGAAGGCACCTCTTCTTTTCCCAGTAAAGGATTTGTTTTTTCGCAATTATAACACCACATGCTAGAAGGCGCCATTGTGCTACATTGAGTTCCGAAACTCATCAGATATCCCCAGAGTGATCAGAATTAGATTTGTCACCACCTGAACTTCCAGCATCATGCAAAGGATAAGAGACTATGTCACATGAGTACTCTTGAAGTTCAGGACAAACTGCCTAGCTTGTCTGATAGAGTATTCTCAATGGATTCACACTTCTCACACAAGGGTGAGGCTTCTGGGAACATGCTATGCATCATAATCTTTGAGTAGTGTAACCTGTATAAAAACCTGAATTGTATAAAGCGGTGCCGGGCATTAATAGAACACTCATGAATATATTCTAGGCTATTTTGCACACAGTCAGGGGTTAACAGTGCTCCAAGCTCCTTTTCCCTATTTTCCTTTATATTGCCAATTTTGGGAAGGCTTAGATATTGCAATGTCTCGTTAAGTTGGGAGACAATGAAAGTGGAGTCGGTAAATATTCTAATATGGCTCTCTACATGTCCGGTACAGCCCTCTCAAAGTCGAGAAGGTGTTTTCACAAAGTTAATAATCTGCAGATACATACAGAAATTAGGAGTGCACCAATTTATCGACTAGCAAATTTTCTTAATTTTGGGAGATCAGTGATCGGCTGAGCCAACCTTATCTACCTCAAAAAAAGTTTAAAAATCACCCACTGTCCTCTTCTGCTCTCCCGTGAGAGGTTTGACTGACAGACCAGGTCATGACTGCGCGTTCTGTTAATAATAGTCACACCATTGTTGCCAACTCAGAAACTTTCTTGTTATATTTATCAATAATTTTTTCAGACAAAAAAATTGGTATTGGTCAAGATAGGAATCAGCAGGTCAGGCTAGATCGGTAATCGGTGATTGGCCAGAAAACTGAAATCGGTGCACCCCTGGCAGAAGAAGGTAAATTATATTTCAGCTTGCGTTGTTTGAATGAGGCAATAGATAATCCAATTTACAGAATACCAATACTACACAGTCCAAAGACATTCAAGTTCCAGGCATTGAATGTCCCACCTATGATGCAGGGCTGTCGTAAGCAAGGAGTTTGGTGCTATACAATCAACTTGGCACATTTATATGATTAAGAATTTATATATTGTTTATTTTTGCCCACTGACAAGAACATTTATATATTTCACAGTTTTTCATAGTTGTGTGAACTTCTTTTCAAAGGTTAAAAGTTATGATTAAAAGCATTTAAATTCAGCCTTTCTTAATCTGATCCTTATTTCAAATGGATAAAACAAAAAACTAACATAAGCTTATATTGTGATACATTTTTCAGTCATTTTGCCCAGTTCTATCTTCTATTGTCGATTTAGAACAAAATCTCCAAGAAATGTTTATAACATCTTGTTATATGCAATAAAAAACATAATATTTAAAGGCAAAAGAAGTTCAAAGTGGTACTAATAAAGTGTAGCTAATAAAGTGATCCATACATCAAAGACACAAAAACACTTTAACAGATAATTAAGGTGTGAAAGTACCTGAGCTGGCTTGACGTCCAAGTAATGAAGCACTTCTTTAAGCATGACAGGCATGTGAGGAGGCTTTTCAGCAGAAACACAAGAGAGTCCGTCAGACCTATCCCAAGAACCAGGGCCAGAAGACAAGCCGGCGGTGACAGAATTCAGCCTCAACATTAATGACCTCCATGCTCTCCGTGCTGCCGGGTTTGTTTTCCATATCATTATATTGGAGATAAAAAGCATGTTCTTGTAATGACCTGTGGAGAAACAACAGCAAGTTATGCTAATTTAATGTACTACTCCAGGTTTGTGGCTGTTTTTTAACACTATAAAAAATAAATATTAGTTTAGTCTGACACAAGTGTTTTATTGTCCCTATATTCATTCATTCTGCAGCTTTATCCAAATCTGCTGCTAACAAAACAATGTGGTGTGTCACACCACATTGTTGCAATGTTGCGTTTGCTGACAATAACAATTTCCTTCCTTTGCAACTTGACGTGAACATAATTAATGTTATATTCTGGCTGCACAGTTCTTATATCCCACTACACTATGTATTATTGAGAAGAACTGTAAATACTAAACATTTTTTGTTGACTCAATTTTGGTATTTTTAGAAATACTTTCCACCACAATATACTGCATGTCATAAAAACAGTAAATTGTATGTTACCAATAAGGTTTCTATAGTCCATCAAAGTTAATTGATGGACTATAGAAAAGATTAAGCATGAAATGACAACGATAAAAAGATCAAATTAGCAAGTTAACGCTCTGCTGCCCAATAACAATAAGAAGTGATGATGAGCAACAATAGAGAGGTTCTCTTAAAATGTGAGTAAAGCATTTACCAGTAGGAGGTGTAGGAAGTGTCACTCTAAGTCAGCGACAACCTGTCACCACAATCTAATTTTATTATACCAATAGAAAATTAATATTATAAATGTGCTTTATTAATAAACACCCAGAGATTCCCTGATTGCACAGCCTAACTGGTTATTAGTCCATAACTGGTGTGAAACTAGCTTGATAAACACCAGTCCCTTTGTCTGCACTTTGCTTTGCACAGAGTGTCTGGACCCTCAGCTTTAAGAAAAGGAGGTGCTCTAAAACAGCACAGAAAATCAATGTCATCATTCACAACTCTTTCTGTGCGCGGGTTGGCTGGTTGAAATTCAATCTGAGAAATCAAGCTCAATGAGAGAAATCAGAGACGGAACATCAAAGGGAGATGATAATTGAGCGGAATTGCATAAGAAGGCAATGGCCAGACTAGTGAGGAACCAGTTCTCTCAAAACAAGTAAACTCACAAAAAGACAGAATATAAATATAGAATAACAAATAAAAATACTATATAGTAAGGTTAAAATTTCAACTTAAACACTGTAGAGTGATTAAGAAATGGTGCACTACACACATTGAGGTCTATTCTACCTATAATTTACTTTATTTATTTGATCATGTATTGTCATGTTTAAAATATTAAAAAGATAAAGTACAAAATCATATGGGGGGCACCACAAAGCATTTGTGCTTAGGGAGCCCATAAGGCTAGCAACGGCAATGTAAATCCTGCTGCTTAGTTAGCCATTAGCCTCGCTGCTAAATATGCCAGGCTCACATTCGCAACAAGACTGGAATGACCAACATGAAGACTAATATGGGGTAAAAGTTTAACTTGTGCAACCAAGCAAGCTGGCACTTTGAAGAAAAATATCATAGGGGCAGGTAAAAAGAGGTTTCCGTATCCACCTGGCACTTATCAATGGAGTAAATATTGAATAGTCGTGACAGTACCATTAATACTCCTGCTACGTACACATTCACTTTACACTCTGTCCACTACTGAACAAACGGTAAACAGTATTTCACTGCACAACATGTGAAACAGCTCAACTAACAACTGTCACACTGAAACGTGCCTCCAGATGAGAAAAGCTAAACTGCAGCTTACCGTAGTGGATCAAGCGAAAGCTCCACCTCCAGCAGCCTCAGCGTGACGTGCTCGTCACTGCTGGGCCGCCCAACGTCTTCACCCTCACAGCCAATCCGCGGCCACACAGGAAGAGAGCTCCTGTTTGAAAATATTGGCGCTTGTTGTGCTAGCTGTCTCCAGCAACGCGTTGCTAACGACTTCTATTTTCATGTGACAGCGACTTACTTTAATCAAAAAAACTGCTGTGGCATGACAGATACCCGTCGTTTATGACAGGTAAGAAAAGAAAACTCCCACGGAGAGTTTTCTGTGTGATGGCTACTACAAATCTAACGTATTGTTAGAAAATACACGACGTTAGCTGGCCAGTTAGCAGGTGTTTGTCAGGTGTGCTAAGAGGCGTTTGTGCTTCTGTATTTAAATATGTAGACATTTGACGAATGTATTGGTATAGTATTGATAATGGAAAAGCAGAACTTTTGTGTCTTTTAATATTTGTAAAGCAATACATGAATATATTTTACCGTTAGGAAGTTGTCATCTCGATATATTAATGTATTTCCAAAGTAACCGCAGCACGTTTTGACACAACGTTCCCTAGTTTTCGTTTAGTGATAGATTTATTTTTTATTAAGTGAACAATAGCAGAAAGACATACAGATTTATTAATAATTAATTTGTAAGTAGGCTGGGATTTTCACAATTTTTCATATTCGGATTTTTTTCAACTCAAATACTTGAACATATAAAAGGGAAAAAATGTGTTGGGGGTAGTGGGTGTGTATCAGATGCGCATGAACTTCACACATATTACGCTAATCTTTCCCTGATTTTTAATGAACAAAGATACTTTCAGTTAATGCTTTAATCTACTGAAAATGCTGGCAGTCCTTGCTTTTTAAGTATTTAATGAATGGAGGCTGAGCATAGAAAAAAATTCAGCATTTGACCTGCAGGTCGCAGATCAAAGCTGATTTAAATCTCTGGCCAATGATTTGTGGATCTCTGACTTAAGCCATTATTTAATCAGGAAGTTAAATTCTACAGAGTGAAACTCTCTTATATAGGAAAATACTGAAAATAGATAATCAAAAATGGCTATACTCAAAACACAAATTAAATAAGCCAATGATGACAAAAATGGCCACAAGTACTGCAATCTGAAAAGATGGTCAGTATATTTTAAAATGAGTCAACATAAACAGTAAGAGCACCAATCAATGGCTGATTAATTTTACTACAAGTGCTGTTCCATGAAGGCAAACATTAATATTAACTGTATTAATATAACAGTGTAGTCAGTTCTCACAGCAGAGATATTTATTTATTGTTTTATCTTAAGTGATTATATATGTATGTGTGTGTTGTTTTGTCTTAATTACTGCTTTGGGTATGTTGTTCTTTCAGCAAATGGTGATTTTTGACTCTGTACTCCAGTTAATGATTAATATATTATTAGATTAGCTGATGATTATTTCAAAATCAATTCATCACAATTAATCCTATAAGTCAGACCAATGCTATGTTATTTATTCAAAAGCTTATTTTTATTGCCTTGGTTTGACCTCATCTAAACATACCACAACTTGTTGAAGAATGGGTTTACCCTGTAGCTGGAAGGTTCAGTTTACATTTCGTAATGTAAATCGATGTATTTATCCTGAGCTGTGAAAAATATCTGACTTTAATGCAACATTTATATATTTTCTTTGCTTTGCATTATATAACGCAAGTAGATCAAATAAAGACATAAAATAACATGCTCTCTCTTTTTTGCCAAAATCACTTTTGGCAAAAAAAAAAAAAAAAGAGGTGACGATGTCTTTTAGGTGAATAGTGTATTTAAGTTGAGTGAAATTACAAGCTCCATATGTGTCCACATGTTGCATTAACTAAGCTACTATAGGGGTTTGCAATTTTCTAAAAATAATTGTTAGCCATGGTAGATTATCTTCTAATCATAATAAATCCAGCTCTTTCTACAATAAATCAGTTCTGCTGCATTTAGTACTCTGTTTAAAGACTGAAATACAGGCTGATACTACAGCTGACACAACCATTTTTTTTTATAGGAAGGTTTTCATTGTCTCTGCTTGTGTCTTTGTTACAAGTCTTATGTTGCTTTAAAAGAAGCTTAGCAGCTAATTCCTTTATTTTGTTGTAAATGTTGCCTATTCAATGTTACAGTTCAATGATGAGAAATTAAACGTCCTTGAAAATAAATTTTTGCTGTAAATTGGTTGTGTGTAAACAAAGATGGATTTATGTTCTGGATCATGTGATTGTTGATAGCTTTCATCCAAATCAAAAGCTGCGATGGCTGCTTCTGTTGTGCATATTCCACATTTGGATTTATATAGATGTCATTCCTATTACCTTGTTTTGTCTTTAGTAGAAACATTTGTGACTAGTCCACTGAAGCCCCTTTTTTCCTTTTTGTGTTGCAGCAGCATTCCATTCACAATCGAAGGACCAAAATGGCAAGTGACGTGTGTAGTCACGTAAAAGTCGTAGTTCGGGTTCGGCCAACCAACGACAACGAGAAGCGTGAAAACTGTCGCAATGTCGTCCAAGTTGTTGACAACCACATGCTTATTTTTGACCCCAAGGAGGAGGACATGTCATGTTTTGGGTCACAAAGAGTGAGGAACCGAAACATCAACAAGAGGGCGAACAAGGACTTGAAATTTGTTTTTGACCACGTCTTTGACGAGAACTCTACTCAACTGGACATTTTTGAGAACACCACTAAAGGAGTACTAGATGGTGTAATGAATGGATTCAACTGCACAGGTAACTAACGTGGATGCAAAATTATTAAATGTGTTAGGCTTCTTGTTTGATTCAGGTTCAGCAAAAACCCCATTAGTGCAAAATAGTTAAGCAACAAAAAGACTAAATTGGTTCGAATAAAGTAAGGATAAAATTGGTTTGCCGTAAGAGGAAGCATGAATCAGACCTCATCTTTTCTGAATTTCTTAAATATTTTATAAGATTCAGGGTCACTAAAAAGTCATGAACAGATTGTCCCTGAACTACCTTCTCAATCCCTGGTGAAAAGGTTTGCATTCTTTATGATTAATTGGAATTGTTAGTTCGTATGTCCATTCCACGTAAGCCTGCGGTTCAGGGAAAATGCCAGAGAAAAAGTACACTGCAGGGAGCAAAGTGAGAGGGGAGTTACTTCATCACAGCATCCAGTCACCATTCTCAGTTTGCTCCCTACAGAGAATCGGTTCACTTTTTCCACCCCTCTGAAAAAAGTATTACTGCAAAATTCAAGACAAAACTGTTTTTAAAGTCAGAATGGGTGACATTAAAAAAAAACTGAGCATTATTATGTCATTATATGTTTTCAAATAATATAATGACAGATATTTGTTGTCATTAGGAACAACAAATATCTGCTAACTGTATTTTTTATGGATCTGTGGTAAATATGGATCCATTTGGAGGATTAAACTTAATGTTCACTACCTTGACTGAACTCTCTTCTCAGTACAATGTGTCATTTAAGGTTACTTTTCTGAGCAGCTTCTGAATGTAGATCTCAGGCTGTTTGCAAACAACATTCTTGCATAGTTTGAAAAAGTAAGAAAATAGTTGTATTTCCGGATATTTTTTTTCATTATTCCGTTTTCCTAAAGTTGGATTCACTTGTTCAATTATCCCTCTATGAACAATTCATACATTCAGTTGTTCATAATAATTCATCCTTTATTCCATGTATTTTTCATCCATGCATTCTGTCAACCATCCATCTAGCTATTAGTCTGTAAATCACTTTCCCCTTCCATCCATCTATTTATCCATAATCCATCAATCTGTTCATTCATCCATAAATGTGCATCCATCCATCTTTCCATTCATGTTAATACCACAGATTCACCCCTATTTTCCATCCATTCATCTTTTTATTTACTTATCTTTCCGTTCATCCATCTTCTTCATCACCAGGTTTTTTTTAGGCTTTTATTTTTGTGCTTTAGCAGAAATATCTGCCAAAAAAATATGAAATTAGCTGAAAATAAATTAGATATCTGAAAACTTGAATTTGGAAAAGTAGCAAAGTTCTACATTAAAATATGTGTTCAGGCAGCATTTTAAGGCCTGGTTTGCGTTCAGAAGCCATAGTTTAGGCCGTTGACATCTGTTTTGTGAAACATGTTATAGAAAGCAAAGGTTGTTGTAAACAGGAAAGAAACAGTAAACCATACATTTTTGACAGGTTGAGATTTATTTATCACAATCTAGCATTCTTGCTCTTTGTCTGCATTATTGCATTATGTCAAAGAAGAACAACTAACGACATACTGTATTAAAATAAATGCTGTCTCACAATGTATAGACATATTTTTTTGTCAATCTATTTTGTATGATTTTAGCTAAAATAAACACTTAAATTCCTGTCACTTGATTGATTGAAGTTTGCAATCTGCATTTTGTGCACTTTCTCAGTTTTTTATGTTCTTTTAAAATTGATTTGTTGGTGTTTGTGCACCCTTTTCCTTTGTAATAAGTTTCCTTCTTTTTGCCACAGTATTTGCTTATGGTGCTACTGGAGCTGGAAAGACCCATACCATGCTGGGTTCACAAAATGACCCTGGAGTCATGTACCGCACAATGAAAGAGCTGTTCAAACGGATGGATGATGCAAAGGAGGAGAAAGAGTTTACTCTTGCATTTTCATATCTTGAGGTATTTTGTGTAGAATGGATCATTTATTTATCTTTGCGTCTAACAGCATTTCTTACATTACTCCTCCATATTTGTCTACTTTCATTTTTAATTAAAAACTGTTCCGTTCAATCCTGCATTTCCATCTTTTGTCTTGAGGTGACTAGGTTGTTGAAGCTTGCCCTTGGCTCTTAACTATGTTTTTGTTGGTTCACAGGTTTACAATGAACAGATCAGAGACTTGTTGGCTAATGTCGGGCCTCTTGCGGTCAGAGAGGACAGCTCCAAAGGAGTAGTTGTTCAGGGCCTCACACTTCATAAGGTTTGCCAGCTAACGATACAACATTGAGCCTTCTTGTTATTGTAATTCTGCTCCTATGGTTCTACTAAACAACGTAATGTCTCTATACATTTAACAATAAATGGATA